AAGTGATGCCTTAGAGTGCCACCACTGAGTTCACTGACTTCGGGGTGCACTTTCTCATGTTTAGCGGAGCATTCAATGGATGCACCAGCATTAGGACTACGACAGTGACGATGGCTCTGATGACTCTGATATAGGAGATGATGCTGCAGCTGTCCTTGCTGCTGGTGATAGTTGATAGGACACTCCTTATCATTTGTGATAAAAGGGGTGAGTTGACTGATAGAGAATCGATAGCCTGATTTGTGATTAGCTTGATGTATTTTTTGATTGTTATTAGAGCGCATATCTAGATTAAGTTTTTGATGTTTTGGCAATATTAATATATGTTATTTTTGGTTGTTTGGCTTACATTAATATTGTATCTTAATGTAGTTAATGTGATTTGCATATATTTATGACTATCTTTAACTGCCTACATATATTACACTATTTTACATGCGTTTTACACTGGATATCTGAGTTCTGATTTTAGGAAATAGGTCTTATACATACAATGCAGAAGGCAGTTGAGTTGGTTGTTTTTGGATAGCCTTGGTAGTCACTTTTGATAAGTCATGTTGGTTAGTTTTGTAGTAATGTATTTTTTATCACAGGATGTCAAAGGGGGAGTTTGTAAGGTTTACGATTTTAATGTCAAAATTAGCAAGCAAAGACCACCTCACTTTCGCTTGATTCTCGCCAAGACACTGCTCGAGTGGCATATACAGAGAGGATGTATATTTTCGCCAAGCCTTCGTTCGAGCGAAAAGACCATGACTAGCTGTTGCTAGACGTTGCTCAAGTGACATATATTTTTGCAAAACCCTAACTTTTCTTTTTGAGAGTTTCAATCATTCCAAACTACTTAAGACATCCCACATATAAATATCTGCGCCATTTTCATGAAACAGTAGGGATTGTCCATTAGAGAAAACTCTTGCATGCTTCAACATCATACACAATCCATTCATCATCAACATTGGCAATTGAAAAACATCAAGTCTAAAATTCAAACACCAAAACCAAAAGCTTCCAGAGGATCTGTTTGAGATTGAAGATCAAAGAAGGAGAACGGGGAGTTATCATCGAATCCACAGGAGATAGACGAGATCTGAAGCCGGGAGTTAGTGCAGGAGCACGCAATCCAGGAAGGCATTGTGAATTGCAGTACAGGAGGTCAAAAAGAATGTGTGTGGGTCTAGTCTAGCGGTACTGTAAGTTGTATTTGTTCATAGTGAATTCATACTGGCTTGGACCCGGAGTTTTACCCAGTTTGGGGTTTCTTCGTCATCAAATTTTGCTTGTTCTTTACTTTTCAGTAATTTATTATTCTGCAGTAATTCAACATAGGATAGATTGCATGTGAATTGGACTGGTTTGATTAATTATCATACGGTGATTCAATTGTTAACTAAAATTCGATAAATTCCTTACAAACACCTATTAACTCCCTTATAGGTGTTATTTGGTTCGAATTTAAGCAACAGAGCTTTACCATGGAGAACTCAATCAAGCAACCATCATATTTTGAAGATTGCCACCAAGTTGATCATTAGAAGAGCTACAAAGGCAAGTCAAATGAAGGTGAAATTGTTGATAGGGACAGCGATGGAAACTTAATTTTGTGGAGGATGAAAGATGAAAGAATGAAGTGCAATCAATGCATAAAATGCAGAGCTGAAAATTTCCTCTTCAAGCCACCATGAATAGCCAAAACAACAAAGTCTAGCTAAAGACTATAAATTAAGTGCCTATTGGGATGCAATCCAATTTCATTACCATTTATATATTTTGTTTTCTACATCGCATTGTATGTATATTTGTTTTGATTATTAATTTGCATTAGATATAGGCACGTTTAAATTTAGAGAGTATCATCATCCGATCATGTTTTCGCTAAGGCCCTTGAATTTAATGCCAATTATTTCAAGTGTTAGGGCTAGTTAACACATGTTCTAGATTATTTGATCTCTTATGTTTGATTTGATTGCCATATACAGAAATACGATGTCTTGGAACACTTAAACCAACATAGACAAAGGGAAAAACATGATGAGAAAGATTGTTTAGCCGTCGCCCATAGTCCCTTCCATGCTCAACAAAAAAATTCGAGGAGTTTTTGGTTTCGTATGTTTTTGTGTGTTTAGTAAAATAAAATAAATAAATTTGTGTTTATTTACAAAATAATAATAATAATAATAATAATAATAATAATAATAATAATAATAATAATAATAATAATAATAATAATAATAATAATAATAATAATAATAATAATAATAATAATAATAATAATAATAATAATAATAATAATAATAATAATAATAATAATAATAATAATAATAATAATAATAATAATAATAATAATAATAATAATAATAATAATAATAATAATAATAATAATAATAAACAAATTAAAATTTTTTTTCTAGTTGTGTGCTCGTGTGGGTTAGACCGTTTGGCTGAAATGATGATTAAATTTGAGATTTTGTATTGATTTATGAACTGTGAATATGATGTATGCTGATTGATTGAAGTTTAAACTTGCAAACATTGATATTAAATTGGAGATCGATTTGTTTGAATATGTGTGTGATTAGAGGTATTGCACTAATCAAGGCGTGTATTTTGAAATTTAAAACTTCTTTTCGGAGCCTTTATGACTCAAGCAATTAAGCCTGCAAGGGTATTTTTAAATTTGATACTCTAAAGTCATTTGACTTGGGAGTCATCTATCTAAATTTCGTTACAATTGTCATTTAGAAAGCAACCAGAGATAAAGTTGCCCTAAAAAAATTATTCTCTTCAAAGCCTTTTTGATTGGGGTTGTTAAGCCTATAAAGGTATCTGAAAACTTGGTACTCTAAAGTCATTTGACTTGGGAGTCATCTGTCTAAAGTTCGTTACAATGGTCGTTTAGAAAACAATCTGAGATAAAGTTGCCCTAAAAAAATTATTCTCTTCAAAGCCTTTTTGATTGGGGTTATTAAGCCTATAAAAGTATCTGAAAACTTAGTGCCCTAAAGTCATTTGACTTGGGAGTCATCGGCCTAAAGCCTACTACATGGGTTATCTAGAAAGTTTAAGGTTGTGTGGAAAGGAAAAAAAAAATAAAAGAAAGAGAAATCAGAAAAAAGAGCAAGTGCATGAGAAAAGAAAAAACACTAAATGCCTTATTAAGTCCGGACCCTTGTTCGATGAAATTTGACTTTCGATAAAAGATGATTAGCCTAATTGAGTCCTGATGGTTGAAGCAATTAAATAATTGGAGAATCCTTATTTATTGATATGTTGATTTGCTATTTGTGACATCCACCTAAATTAGAGAGGGTGAGAATAGTAAAAATAAAAATAAAAAAATCAATTTTAGATCACACACTGGGAAAAGAGTGAAAATGAATAAGTTTAAGGGTGTGTGAATCTTACGAGAGATGAAAGGATATATTTGACCATAGAGGGTCAAGAATTGGAAAAACCTGTGAATTCATTAATGTCAACTTAGTCTTCACACATATGTCAATTTTGCATTGAAAAAGTGGATATTGTTTAGTATTGTGATTTTGAAACGGTTTGCAGATTTAATACGATGATATCAAATCTTGAGGTAAAAAGCTAAACTGTCTGACCAAATATTTTTTGCATGCTTGAGTGTTTTTTGTTATAGTTTTATTCGAGGACGAACAAAGTTTTAAGTTTGGGGATGTTTGATAAGTGAAATTTGTGCATTTATTTAAAACACATTATTAAACTTTTATGTCGTCAAATTATTAATTTCTATTTAACTTAGGTTAGTTTTCTTTGTATTTTTAGTGAAGAACTCACTTGAAACAATTGGAAAGGAAAAATGACTAAAGTGCACTATTTTAAAAGAATGGAGGGCTCGAAGAAAAATATACATTATATGGGCCTCGAGTTTGGACTTCTAGTTGGAATGAAAGACACAAGTGGACTGCTTGCGGAAATTTGAGGGACAGTAAAATACAAATTGGGCAGCTAGGAGGTGTTTTATATATACATAACCATACACATGGATAATAGGAAGAAATTGGGCCTGGTATTGGATCAAAAAATAGAAGGCTTTCCAAAGATTTATTTTATATACATATACACACACACAGGCGCACACGATAATTGGGGCTGAAAAAAAGGAGGTATACATAAAGTTAGCTGCCGGCTTGGACAATTGAATCGCAATTGGAATTGTGGCCACTTTAATCTCCTAATGACACAAAACAAAAGGGCTGATTTGATTGTTATTATATATAATATAAAAGACACAACCAATTTTTATTTGTTTAATTTCAATATTATTCCAAGCTAATTCATTTCATGTTTTGATTGAGATGAACCATACTATTTATTTATTTCTAATTCAAGACAAGTAATTTAGTTTGATTTTTGTGTTTCTTGATTAATTTTGAATATCCATTGCATTATTTAATTGATTGACCACCAATTGAATAATTAGTTGTTTCTTGTAGTGTTGAAATACTCACAATAAATTTGAAACACGGCAAAATTAACATATATAGATAGAATTAAGAATAATCTTTATCACATATGCAATCACATAGATAACCTATAATTTAATGCATTTTGGTCATATGAATTCGAACTAGGAATATGATTTGATCGTGATAAGAATAGACTTAATTTGTTTTGTAAAAGAGAATTAAATATATTATTATTATCGATTGTCACGAAAGCGTGAAATTGACTGTATTACTTATCAAGAATTAAAATAAATAACAGTAGAGGGATTCAAAATCCAATACAATCATTCATATATTTGACAAAATATTTTTTATTACTTCCTTAGAAAAGAATTAGAATAAATAACAACCAAATCACGTCTTTTATGTTACGAACATTGAATTTATTAGTAAGTAGTGAATTATAATTAAATATTATTTCTCGTGGGACAATAACTCATGACTCACCTTATTATTACCTGTCAATGATTGTGTACGCTTGCGGAGTTCATACAAAAAAAGCCACCATGAATAAAAAAAATCGTGAACCCCCTATTGTGAAAGCTACAAAGCATGGTGTACACATATCTATTGGGAAATTATTTAATTTACCATGTGAGCCGACATATCCAATTAATTGTGTATAAAGAATATTTTAAAGTTAAGCTCAAAATTAAAGTCGTCTAATAAAGAATTAAGTAATTGAGTTTTGGGGCATCTAAATAAAGTGTGGGCCATATTATATCTGTAGAGCCGAATTCTTTTAGAATTGTATTTCATGATGGGCAAAATACATATGGAAACTATATATATGGTTATGGTCCCTCTTATTCTTTGTGTCATCCCATCAATACAAGAATTTAGAGAGAATGCATATTGAAGAGGAAGGTCTAAAACCCACAATCAAGAACATGTTATCTACAATCAAGAATAAAGATGAAGGAATCCAAGAACAAGAATCAAATAATCCAATGATACAAAATTTAGGATTGAAAGCAAGAAATAAATTAAGAAGGGATTCCAAATTTATTTTCAAGATTCAAGTTTCGGAATCAAAATTTAATAATCAAGATTCATTCTCAAAGAATTAAGGTATGTTTCGCATTATTAATTTTCTTGATGATTTGACATGGAGGATCTTGACAATAAAGTAATTAGGTTTTCAAGTAATAATATTTTTTTTTTTTTGGAGATTTAAAGTTATATAAAATTTCAACAATAGGCATCTCTCTACAAAGCAAAGCAGTAAGGCCAAACTATGTCACTTTCTCACATTTTATCACGACAATAAATTAAGGTTTCGACAACTCAAATGTTGGGAGTAACAGTTCACTAAAACCATTTCCCGTGTACAAAAGTGTGAGTAAAAGAGAGGCATATGCCATGGAGGATTAGAATCAATGCAGTATTCAAGGTCCTGAAGCTGGTCCATGGGAGGATGACTAACGTCAGTCATTAATACACCTTCAAGCAGATTCTTAGAGAATCAATGAACAAAATAAAAACCCAAAATTTATTAATCGTGATAGAGTAGAGAGAAAGCGATGAAAGAAGAACTAAGAACAAAGTAAAGCACAAAGTAGTTAGAAAACAAACAAGTGTAGCAGAAGAATATAAATGGAATAACTGTTCTTTCTATACTGTGAATGTGATGGATTTGAGCATTTTAGTGACTGTAAATATGCAACCAAATGGAACAGAATACACTTTTGTTGCTGCTGGTTAAGCACTTTAGCTGGTCCCTATAGTTGCAGCAAAATTTCAACTTTGTTGTTGAGGCTAATTTTGTTTCACATTAGTCACTATAGATTTCTTAACAATTCTCAAATAATCTATAGCTAACAACTCACCGTGCCAAGCACGACAACCTCGCACCCTCGAGAACAGAATTTTACTCTTTTGATATGTTAACTAAACAGTCCAATCAATACATATTAAATGAAATACCTCATATTTAGTATTCTCATCGCTTTTAGACTACAATAGTCACTTGAATTCTCATAAGTACAACAATCTCACCCACTTGACATGTCACACTTATGTGCTTTGATGAACTGCATTTCCGTTTTCACGAAAGAAATATGATTGATTGAAGAAGGAAAACTGGCAAAGTAACAATGAGGATATTGAGGATTTTATTGGTTAGATTATCGTCAAATTCCACGTGTATGCTATTACCATTGTATGCCTTGAGGAATTGACGAAGTGATAAATCCCATTCTAATTCCAATTGATTTTAATATTCAGAGTCGACAAAGAAAGAATTTGGAGTTACGTCACTCCATTTTTAGCATGATTTTGCCCCGCTAATGGAATCACAAGATTGGAACGGTTGAGAAGCAATATTCACTGATTCAGAGAAAAATAAAAATTAAGGACCAAATTGAAGATTCTCTGTAACATCAAAGACCTAATGCATATTTAAACATACTTTAGTTTTGTCAGTGCTTCTTACGACAAGCCTTTAACTTTGAATTTCAATTCGTTTTGTTTCTAAATCAGTTATTTTGGGTTTATATTAGCCACATCATTTCATTTACAATAAAGTTTTTTGTACGTCATGATTTACATCCCTCTCACAATGTGAGAGGGCCCACATGAATTTTATAAGTGTGAATCCCCTCATTATGAGAGGGGTGTAAGGTGTACAGAATTAATTGCTGTACACCAAAGCACTATTGTTTCATTTATGTACTAGTTTGCCACCCGGGTTCACATTTGGTTTGGAAGTGTCCACGTACGTAGTACTAATGAGTCATGGGAAGGTTCACCTCAATTTTGTCCTTGTGTTGTGTATCCATAGTACTGGGGAAAGTACAATGATTATTATTATTATTATTATTTTTTAAAATTTAATCTTAGGAACGGAAAATGAATATTTCAAGCTTGGAACTTCGGTTGAATAATTTTATTTTATTTTATATCTCAGGAACGAAAAATGCTTATTTCAAGCTTGGAACTTCAGTTGAATAAGATTTGAAAAAAGGTACTATTAAACAAATTTTGTCATTTAGAACATGTTTTATACGTGTAACGAATATTTTAACTCATTTTTAAACTCTTAATATACATGCTAAAAAATATCGACTTAACATATCTGTGCAGAATTTCGACTCGACCTAAATTAACGGAAAGTGCACCATGTATAGTTGCTGCTTCCTACCCAAAATCTTATGTTTGCAGGGGCGGATCTAGGTACAGGTTGGCCTGGACTACAGCCCGTGCTTGCCCTAGCCCAGGACCACTAAGTTATTAATTTTTCTTTTGTGGAAATTACAAAAACACAGGTGTTTCAACTTCCGAGTGCAAAAATCAGGTACAGAATTGTTTTAATCAAAATTCAGGTATTGAATTGATAATTAAATTTTATACCCACCTAATCCCACACAAACCCTATCATTTTTTATATCTCGTCTCTCTCTCTCTACACTCTCTCACAGCACTCGTCGCCGGCGGTGCATCCTATGAGTTTTCTTCTATCTTCTCCACTCTCCTTTCTCTTCATATCTCGTCTCTCTCTCTATCATCTATTACAAATGCCCATTGTCGTTGAGGAGCACCCGCAGTCAAAGACAGCGTCGAGCCCAGCTTCAAGGCCCCGCGTTGATGTGAGATTCGAGCACCATCGATGAAGCCAGTGCGTTCCACCTTCTCTCCTCCTCTCTATTGCAACCGAGAGAAACACTGTGCAGGATCTGGTACATTGCGCGACTCTGCCCGTGCTATTTGATGAGCGGCGTTGCAGGATTTGGCTGTGCCGTACTGTTCGAACTTCAATCTGTGGCTCCGAATTTTGGGGGTGGTGTAAGGTGGAGGCAGGTTGCGATTGTGTGTGGTGTATTTGATGACGATGCGGTGGCGGTGGTGGTGGTGGTGCGGTGGATCTAGGTCGAAGATAGGCGGTAGTGGTGACGACTGGTGTGATCTATTTGTGGTATGTGGTGATGGTGCTGTTGCCAAATGGTGTCGCAGCGGTTACAGTGGTGGTGGCGATGGCAGTGGATCTGATAGTGGTAGTTGTGGTGATTTTTGTTGGCAATGTGTTGGATAGTGGTGGCAACATTATTGGTGGTGGTGATGATCATTTGGTTGCTCTGTGACCAAGCATTGGTGATGGATTTGGTTCGATAGTGGAGTATTTGGTATATGTGACCAACGATTTGGCATGTGACCTTAAAATTTGACAATCTGTGACTAAAAAATTAATCTGTGACCTTAACGATTTGGTCTGTGACCTTAAAATTTGATAATCCGTGACTTTAAAAAATTCGTGACCTCTAAAATTTTTGATATGTGGCCTCGAAATAATTTGTAATCTATAAAAAAAAAAAATTTATATGTGGCCAGTGAATAAATCTGTGACCAATTAATTTGATGGTATGTGACTAGTAAATAAATCTGTGACCATTAATTATTTAACTGTAACTTTAATATATTTATTTAATAAATATTTTTAATTAATTAAATAGAAATCTGAATTTTAATTTTTCAAACTTCTTACTTGATTTTTGAAATGGTGTAAAGAATACACCTGGAAAATTCCCTTTTCTTTTTTTCTTTTTAAGCTGTGCCGATGTCTATTTAATCATCAGCTCGTGTCCAACCAAAACAACAATAGCCTAACTACGTAAGGCCAAATTTAAGTCTATGAAAAAATAGAGAGAAAATTATTGGCTCAAAGAACCAAATCCAAACGTAATATCCATCTAATCTCTCTCTCCTTCTCCATCTCACTCTACACACACTACAGCCCCGTAATCCAATTTCCTTCAAAGTTTCAATCTCCGACCCGCCTTTCCCATTCTCCCGTAAAACTTCTGAAATTTAAGGAACCCAAATCTCCCTTACCTCAACTGTAGCTGGCATCGGACCGGGATTGAACTATTCAAGCCTTAGAGTATTGACCGATATTCGATTGGAATTCTAAAGTGAGAATATTTTTAATTTTCTGGGTTCCAAATTGAACAGAAACGGGCAAATCAGAAAGGGAACTTGGACCTTTAGTTGGGTCATGAGTGAGTAAGTAATTAAATGGAATTATATATATATATATCTTAAGCAGCAAATGAAGTTCACATATTTTATTGCTTTTTTAAAGTAAAAGTCAATATATTTTAAAATTTTCTTCTTTGAATCCATTTCTCAATATTTTTGAAAGTCGAAGAGAATTTTTTCGATGCACATGCCTTAGTTAATTTTAAGCAGCAAATATAGTTCACATATGTTATTGCGTTTTTAAGTAAAAGTCAATATATTTTAAAATTTTCTTTGAATCCATTTCTCAATATTTTTGAAAGTCGAAGAGAATTTTTTCGATGCACGTGCCTTAGTTAATTGGAGTTTCGGAGTAAAAATTCATTCTAATACAGAATTCTTCTTCATTGTCAACTGGTGCCACTGATTCATTTTCAAATCTCAAAGGTGTGGTATATTTTTGAAGGTGTAGGCTTAAATTTGCATTATGTTTTCATTCCAACGTAGAATTCATCTTCATTGTCAAACTAGATTGCGTAGAGATCACATATATTTTCGTATTATATCAACTATTTAGCTCATATGCCCAAAATTCCTGGATCCGCCCCTATATATTTGTAACACGACTAGTGATCCCCCTATTCATGCGATACGAATGTTCTGAATTGTTGGAGGTGTACTGTACATGTAAGTATAGTTACCCTTTTCTACCCAAAGTCTTGTGTATGTTGCCCATAGTTTAAGCTTGCCAGTAAGTGCGAAGGAGACTGTGTTGGGGGCCGAATGGACAGTCTATCACATGGAACATAAGGTGAACAAAACTAAATTGAATATTATAAAAAATTAACAAATTGAACCAAATGGTTTTATTCATTGTGATTGAACCGTACTTAACCAAAAATGACAAGAGTTCGCGTTCCTATTATAATTTAAAATATAAATTTTAGGCAAACTAATTAGATTCTTATTTGAACTTAAAGTAATTATTTGTTGGAGACAAAATTGAGTGATGATACACGTACAGAAATGGGTTTACCGACCCCGTACCGATCACTCACATACACGGGGTGGGTGGGTGTGGGGTTTTTTTTATTAATACAAATGAGTCCCGTGTGGGACCCATTTTTTGTGACTATCGGTAGGGGTTCTGTTTGGTTCTGTCAAATGGAACCCCTGTACACCAAACATTAGTGGACAAAATTAATGTATGACCTAGGTTAGGCAGCATTTTGTTTCGAGCAGTTTGATGCATGTGTGCTGGCTAGCTTTAGTCCCTGGGGTCCATATCATAAACTCGTACTAATGTTTATATAATTTTTAGTGAGGAAACCTGCATTGCACGTTAGTTGGTTTAGTTGGGTGAACGTAAAGTATAAGTGTGTAGCGATCGTCCATATAGAGCAAATGTTTTGGTGCAGTGCTGCATGTACAGCGAATAAAGAGGAATAATTTAAATAAACACAGATGCGTATATTTCAACTC